GGAGTCACGTGTGGATTAACAGTTTAAGCGACGCTCGACAACAATAATTTACGTGTCTAAGGAGGATTATTGTTTACCTGAGAGCTGTTCTCATCTGCAAACGCTGAGATGCGGATTCGCTTGTAGTCTCCTCTTTATAAAGACGCGGCTCTAGTTGCTGGTGATTGTCCTGTCTCTACAGATTTGGTAAGTGAGTGACCAGTGCTCTTTGTTTATTCATTTTGTTCGTATCGAACTAACTATTACACCGAGTGTAAACATGTTAGCACTACAACCAAACTTTAACCTCGTGTAGGATTTTCACCGCATTTTGTGACTGGAATAACACACGCGGCTTTCTGACACTACCTGCCATGTGCATCTAAGTTTCCAGAAAATGCTGAGGGTTTTTTGTCTCTCATTCCCCGTGTGGTATCAAACATTGCATGAAAAATACAGGCTTAGAGCAGCTCCTCAAATTAAATATCTCGTTTTGTTCCTCCCCCCTAAACAGAGCTGGACACGCCCACTTTTCTGTCTTTTTCCAAAGTAGAGGTGTGAAAACACCCTGCTAAAACGAGGCGGTTTCATGGCCCTTTAACAGCTCATGAGTTCATGTTGGTTACATTTAGCTTAAACTGAAATGTTAATTAATACATTTACAACAAGTACTAAAAAGTAATTAAGGTAGCCATCATTCACACATGAACTCATGTGACTCATGTTGTAGTTAAAGTTAGTTCATGATTAGCGCACGTCTTAATTCAAAATAAAGTAATGTTTAGTTTACATATTAATACATCCTTATTCATGTACTGCTATTGTAAAGTGTTACCGAAATATGCTTTCGCAGGTACTTATGTCTGCATTTTGTATGTAAAACGAACGCTGCAGGCTGGTAACACTGACTGCTTCTGTATTGACAGCTTTTATTTACTTTAGGTTTTGGTTTTATATTCGGACATTCGTTCATTTTTGAACAGTGTCAACTTGTGACACTGTCCCTATATTGTTTACTTTGAATATTTGGTCTGAAAAAGCATGTAAGTATGACTTCAAAACAACATTAGCACTATTTGACTGTGGACAGTGTTGTTCTTTGATAGCCATCGGCTAATTTGATGTCCATATTTAACATTTGCAAATAATACTTTTCCAAAATTATATTAGGGAGAAAGTTTGAATGTGAATTTAAAACCAACTTTACCTCAATACGCCTTTTTTAGTGTGACTGGTCTGCTCTGTAGCTAACTATGAGTCCAATGAAGGATGGTTCCAGAAATCAGGAAATAACAAAGTGAAGTTGATGTAGAAACACGCGGCCATGATGCTTTTCTCTTCTAGTTTGGTTTCGAAAACAGGGGTAAAGGGTGTTCGGGTCTGTGGATATTCAACTGATACATTATGCGCAACAAGCCAACCAACTTCTCTCACCGACGTGCACGAGAAGGACATCGTCAGTCTTGTTTGTGTGCTTTTTCTGCTAGATTGGGCTGTTTTTCTCCCTGGTCTCACATTGCTCTAATTCAAGAGCAAGGTGAGAGGGTGTTATTTTGCCTGCCTCTCCTGATGTAGCTTACTTCCTTTTTCTAAATTCTACCTCCTATTACCTGTCTTCCTCTGAACATAGTGATGTTTGTATACGGTCAAGGGGGTTCAATTTCACTATACAAAAATATATGCGACAAATAAAGGCCCGATTTGATTTGATTTGATTTGATTAAAATGCATAGAAATGTACACAGCAGCCTCTGGTGGATTTACGAGAAATGGCGCATCAATGGAGTCAAAAACTGCCAGAAAACAGTCAAAGGTACATATTTGTCAGTTCTCAAACGTGTAGTCCTGGGCACATATTTTCTATGAGCCTGGGTTGGCCAGGAACTATGCTTATAACTGCAGCTGTAGTTTGCGAATGTTGGAACGATGGATTCGGGAAACACCAAATCACTAAACTATGTTTGCATCAATAAACTTGTGACTTTATAATGGTTTTCAGAAATGCACCTCTTTTCAAAATAGCTAATTTCTCCCTCATAAATTGCACTACATTTTTAATTTCATTGGCACAATGAAGTCAAATCTGCCTTATCTGCCAAATCTGCCTCTTTCCATATAGGTGTTTACCAGCTCAGCCATTGTCTCTCACTGATATTTTAAGTTATTCCCCCAAGAGGTTTAGACATCTGTGCAGTACAATAGTCACAGTAAATTCACAGAGGAAAGAAATGCTCCATTCACAGCATTTCAGTATTGTGGCCAAAGTTTTGTTTGCCTCATACTGTCCCTAAAGGAAGTCTATTATGCAGCACAAACGAGCATAAAACTATGTGTAATTATGAATATAAAAAAACCAAGTGCTTTGATAGAAAGAGATATAATCCATTATTCTTTGAGGCCCTGTGATTAAATGCCCTGCATGGAAAAGTCGCCCTGTAGCGCATTGTTTTCCATCTAAATTTAGAAATAAGCTGAACCACACTAGTGTTGGTTGTAATTATATGTGTATGAAAGCATGCAAAACATCTGAAAAGAATGCCTGCAGAATTCCTATCAGATTCTCTATTATAATTTAGAGCCAATCACGATGACAATTCAATGGGATTTAATTTGAATGTTTTTGGGAAACCTTTTAAACTCCCCTTAAGATTTTTGGGATTGTTTCCAAATTACAAATCCAGAATTCTGAAGGGACACTTAGGCAATAGTCATGGATAAAAAGTTTGTCTTAAAAAATAAGGAGTTCAATCTAGATCAGCAGTTCCCAACAGGGGGTTCCGGCCCACAACGGTTACAATTGACAAATTTGTAATTCGTCCAACAAAAAAAATTCCTGATTTCACTGAATCCCTGATTCACCTTCAGCAGCTAATACTAATGACCCAAGCATACTGGACCCAGGTGGGGAAGCTCCAAACATTTCGAATCGCAGCGCTAGCAATACTGCTACACGAAATGCAGGAAAGACCAAGATAGTTACCTGAACTATGCTTTTATTCCAATTTCTCTAAGAAAAGAGTTCCTGACCCAGCCACAGTGCATTATCTGCACCAATTCATTTATTTTTGAATAGTGTCAACATGAGACACTGTTCCTATATTGTTTACCATGCTACTTTGAATATTTGGTCTGAAAAATCATGTAATTATGACTTCAAAACAACATGAGCACTATTTATTTGACTGCGGACAGTGTTGTACTTTGATAGCTATTGAAAGCTAATTTGATTTCCCTATGAAATTATCCAGCCACAGTGCATTATCTGCACCAAAGTTCTTGCTAACGAATGCATGAGGCCGTCCTAATTAATAAGACATAATAGGACATAAGACAGACGACTCATCCCCAATACTTGCAGTCCAAAACAAGCCCAGAGCATTTTTTGAGCGCAAGGCAAAAGAGTTAAAACACACCCAAAATGAGATGAGGGACGTCACAGCTACTGACAAGAAACTTTTAAAGTATTGGCAACTAATATAGGGCCAATTTAAAGGGCAAAGTGTTACGTTTTTCAGTTACCAATGGCCTACTGATGTTTTGCTTTTATATTGTACATTAGGCTATTATTTGCGCATAAACATATCTAGATATAGTAATAAACATACAGTTTGTTTGAAAACAAAATTTTTTGCCATCCTTTCTGCAAACTTATACGAGCGATAATATCATTACATGTTGACGGGGGCCTTACAATATTTCCCAGGGTAAAAGGGGGTCTCAGGCAAAAAAAGGTTGGGAACCACTGATCTAGATGATATTATTTAAATGTAATACATGAAGAAACTACAGTAAATGACAATGCAATACAAGAAGTAACTACAGTAAATGACATTGCACACAAACATTTGCAAGGAATCAGACCCAAATTGGTCATTTAAACAGATGAGGTCTGTAAACGGTTGAAATAGAGGTCATCCTTTTGAGGTCTGATGCACAAATGCAGGGCATGCCGTGTTCAGAGGATGGCACGAACGAAATGGGATATTTGTTTCAATTCAACAAACATACTTCCTGATTAAACGCAATTGGCATTGCCTGATGGACATGCATTATCAATAACGAGCACTATACCTTAAAACACAATCTTCATGCAACTGTATATAATCGTATTCTACAGAATGCATCAAAACAAATGATCCATTAGGTATAGCATTATGTCATCCTATAGACTTACATAGATTAGCAGGTGAATATGCATGCTTTTGTTCATCATTTTGATGATTTAAATCACTGTCTGCAGATCAAGACAAAATCAAAAAGGTTAACGGCAAACTCTAAACCATTGTATTCCACAGCCTTTTCCTGTTCTCACACTACCCATGTCCCTGATAGCGGCCATTACTTCATTACAGATGAGCGTAGAGCGGCAACACCAGCGCACGCACACAGAGAGAGACACACACAGCACCAGAGAGCCGTCAAAAAGCAGATCAGTGTGTCGAGCCTCACCCCCAAGCGTTTTGTCATTCAATCATTGAAGGATATTGGATATACGCCAAGGGGAATAATCTATGAGTGCCAGTTCTATCCCACAAGTGCATTACACACGAGCGGATTCACAATGCACATGCAACCCAGAACAAAGCCCTGCATCGTCCAGCAGTCCGAGACCACCTTCATAATCGTGGAGGCATGCATTCCAGAAAGCTCCAATATGGAGCAAAAATGGATGAGTTGTCCAATCAATCTGTGGCTTTGAGTATTAAGGGATAGTTTGCCCCAACAATGAAAATTCAATCATCGTTTACTCACCTTTTAACCTGTTAACCAATACACCAAATCAAAAACTAGATAATCTGAAGAGCATTGAAAACCAGCAGAGATTGACATCCATACTAGGAAGACACAATGGAAGTCAATGGCTGCTGCTTTCCAGCATTGCTCAGAATATCTTCTTTTGTGTTTAGCAGAGGAAAGAAACTCAAACAGGTTTGGAACCAGGGAGTAAACGATGACCGAAGGGTGAACGATCCCGTTTACGTGGGCATGAAATCTGGAGACTCTTTTTCAACCGTACTCACCAAGCATTTGACTGAAAAGCAACTGCTCCAGGTCACCAAGAACGGTGACCACCAGCTCTGGGTCCACCTTGAGGAAAGGTTTATCGCCACCTTCCTCACCTTGACCCTTGGCCTCCAGGTCTCCAGAACACCCAGCCGCCGCTTTCTTTCCACTGGCTTTGGCTTTGCTGGAAAGGATATCATCATCAGACTTGCAGTCATCAGATGTCTTGCTCAAGGGTTTTACTTCCGCGTAGGGGCCTCGAGGGATCCGACTTTGGCCTTTTCCCGGTGCTGCAAGTGGGGTGAATGCTTTGGGTTTTCCCTGGAAGAGGGAGTGGTCTGATTTGGAGAGGTTACGGGAGAGTTGTGTGCCGGCTGTTCCTCCGCCGGCCACTGCTTTAGGCTTCTTCAGGTGTCCTGAAGCAGCTTTGCTCATGTCATCGCACCACTTGGGCTCATAGAGCTGCATCTTCTTCTCAGCATCCGTCAGGACAGCCAGGTTGGTCAAAGACCTCTGTTTGCGAAGGTTGGATGGCACAGGGATGCGTCCCTCTGTGCTGCCCACGCGGTACACCTTCAGCTCGCTTCGTGCCACGCTCTGTGGCACGCCAGACTTGCCCCTCTTGGCAGCCATGTCTGCACCTTCCCTTGACGCTCTACCTGCCTTTTATTCGACCCCCAGACGTCTTCCTTCAACGGAGAGCATTTAGAGCCATAAGAGCACGAGGAGCGGATGAATGTGCTGGACTCTTGCACAGGAAGAAAATGCTAATTCCCTTTAGTGCGCTTTATTTTCCGCCGTTGCTTCCTGTCGGGCTGCAGCAGCTGCCACCCTGCTTCTCCTCTTCTCTTTGCTCTCTCGCTTTCTCTCCTCCCTTCACCAGACAGTGTTGCCGCTGAGCTGTGCAGCAGCCAAATGACAGCAATGCTGCACGCAACAACAGTCCCTGCCCCCTCTCTCTCTCTCTCTACTCCCCGTCTCTTTTGGTCCCTCTCTTACATTCTCTCTCTCCCTTGCACACACTCTCATGCACACACTCTCTCTCTCTTACACACTCTTTCTCTCATCATACACTCACAGTCTCTCTCTCTCTCGGTTGCATTTTCCGGTGCGTCTCTCCGCCTCAGCAGAAAGTGTGAGCTGTTTAGGGGCAGATGACAAATTGCACTACTGGAATATAAACTGAATCCATTACATAGGAGTGTGTATTTTCACACACATTATTTCTCCTTCCCTATTGTTCCTCCCCTCCCCCAGATATTAAGAATAAACTCAATTAAAATCACAGCTACATGTTGGCTCTGAGCCTTCAGGAGAAATGCATGTGGACCAATTTAGGGTTTACAACAATCCAAATCTGTCTGCATGTCTACCTGTCTATCCGTAAATACGTGGTAATAAATAACAAATTAACTGGAAGACACATTATCTCTTCATTTTTTGCACAAAATGAAAACAAGGAGACTTAATTAATATGAAAAAAATTCAACATTATAAAATGCCTTCTTTCTTTCATATCTATATTTGCAATCCACTATTAATTTTATATAAATTAATATAAAATAGTTATTAATATAAAATAACTTTTAGTACTATTATACAATAATTCAATATAATTGTGCGTTTTTTCCATAATGAATGCATTTAGTTATTTAAAATAAATAATAAACAAATAAATATATAAAATAATAAATAATGATAAATACATAAAAATAAATTTACATGTAAAACAAATAAATAAATAAACTAAATAAAAATAAATAACATCTTATAATACAAAATAAAAATAAATAAACAAATAAATATAAAAATAAACAAAAATAATTAAATAAAAAAAGAGTAAAAAAAATAAAAATAAAATTAAATGAATACAAAAATAAAATAAATAAATATAAAAATAAATACAAAAAATTAATAAATATAAAAATAAAATAAATAAATAGAAATAGAAAAATTAATACAAATAAAAATAAATAAATAAATAAGTAAATATAAAAACAAATATAAACAAAAAATAAACAAATATAAACAATAATATAAAATATATACAAATTTAAACAAATAAAATGTAAAATTAAAAGAAATTAATGCAAAAATAAAAATAAATAAATATAACAGTTTAAATTAAAAAAATTAATTAAAAAATTTTAATAAAAAAAATGTAAATAGGTAAATATAAAACAAAAGTGAAATAAAAAAAACATATTAAATAATAAAAACGTAATAAAATAAGTATATTAAAATAAATCTAATATAAATAAAATGAATAAATATAAAAATAAATAAAAATAAAGAAATATTAAAATATAAATATAAAAATAAAAATTAAAAAAAATAAATATAAAAAGAAAAAATATATGTAAAAAGAAAAGGAAAAAGAAAAAATATAAAAAGAAAAAGAAATAAGAAAATAAATACAACAATTAGCTAAAATAAACAAATATTAAAAAAGAAAAAAAAAGAAAAAAAGAAAAGAAATCGAAATATAAAAAAAAAATTGGATGGATGGAGAGAAGGATAGATGGATGGATGAAGATAAATATTGCAATAACTACAAACAAGCAAAAATTAAGTATTTTTGCAGCATATTAATAAATCACATACTGCAATAATAAATCAAACAGCTCCAGATGTTTGAATTTGCTCCTCCCTCAGTCTACACCTCTGAGGCGGTGTGTTGTTTTGAGATACTCCCTGGCATCATCCTTCATCATATTCCATACACACCTCTCTCTGGAGTTTTCCGCAATGCTTCGCTGGAGAAGCGTCACCATAGCAACACTGCTGCCTACATCACAACAGGCATGAGGACGACTGAAGCTGCATCCGGCTTTAACAGCTCCCTACATAGTGTTCCCTGCTCCCTATTCCCTGAGCAGAGAATACCCACTGAAGGTCACTTCACTTGGGAACATGCATTTAATTTGAACAACCTGCAACTTCACCATCACCACTGGGAGAGAGGAAACTCCAGTCATGTATTTCAGAGGAGTCTGAGGTTTGACTATGTTATATACTTCATTCATTATATATTATGCATCTACATTGAGCATTTTTAAAAATTTAGATTATGATACATTTATAACAGTATTTTATTATATTTTATTTTATTTATTTTATGATAAACTAATGTAATACTAAATCGTAATTATAAGCTCTAAATTGAGTGATAAACGTCTGCTACAGTGGTTAAAATAAAATCAAACAATGTGCTTATAATAAATGTTTGATTAAACTGTAAACATGCTAATTGGATTTTAGTTTGTCCGTGTTTGCGTTTCTAAATATAGCCTGTAAAAGCCCTGCTTTGGTAAACATATTTATTTTTTAATTTAATTTAATTTAATTTAATTTAATTTAAAGTTTAGATTAATTTTTATTTAAATTTAATAACATTTTATTTTATAATTTATTTTAATTTCATTTAATTTTATTTCATTTTATGTTATTTAATTAAATTAAATAAAATTTTAATTAAATATAATATAATTTTAACTAAATTGAATTAAATTGAATTTAGTTTAGTTCCGTTTAGTTTAAAGTTTAGTTCAATTTAGTTTAGTTTTTAGTTTTAATTCATTTTAATTTTAATTTAATAAAAGTTTATTTTATTTTCAAATTTATTTTTAATTCAATTTAATTTTATTTAATTTTTATCATTTAATTTAATGTTATTTCAAATAAAATAAATTTCAATTTAATATAATTTAATTTTAATTTAATGTATTTGATAATTGAATTAAAAAAAATTTATAATTTGATTTACTTTATTTAATTGTACAATTTAATGTATTTTTCTATTTATTTTTTATTAATTTTATTTTATTTTTTATTTAATGTTATTTAATTCAATTCAATTTTAATTTAATATAATTAAAGTTTTATTTAATTTACTTTTGAATTTAATTTAATTTTAATTTAATTTTTTTAAATAATTTTTTTAATTTACTTTTACAATTTAGTTTAATTTTTAATTAAATTAAATGTATTATTAATAAATAATAAAAATTACATTTATTTTTTAAAAAATTCATTTTATCCATATTTTATTTTTAAAGTTTTTGTTATAAAATTAAACTATATTTTATGTGCACTGATGCATTGTGTGTAATCGTGTGTGCGTGTGCTCCCCCCAAAATCTCAACGAATGTGTTGTTTCAGCTCATTTTAAATGAGTAGCTTGAACAAGCAGCAAACTTCATTCTTTGAGTGCTGTTTGTTCACCTGATAGCAGCCTTCAATGAATTCCCCTTAACCAGCCTGATGCGAAAGACCAGTTTGGTACAAGGACTTAATGAAAACCTCAGCCCTGTCCCGCATGCAGGGGGTCTGAACACTTGGCCAAACACATGGCAGTCCTGGGGCATCTGGGCTGATTCTGCTGTTACTGAAGGGGAAGAGAGAGCTGGAAGAATGAAAGCTTTTGTCTGGACTCATCATGAGTGTCTGTGTTGTTCTGTGGGGGATTTTTTTCCACTGAAAGACGAACATGTGACAGCTGTGGCAAAGGCTGTATTAATAAACAGCAGAATCGGCTAGATCTGCTAAACAAATATTATAATTGCTTTTTTAAATGATAAGGAGACTTACTGGAGCTTTCATTGACTTTTTTTTTACATAAACTCTCTCAAATGCTTCGCCTATACATCTTCAATAAAGTCAAACGGTTGTTATACTGCAAAATACATGATTTGTTAGAAGACTAGAAGAATTCACTCTGTGATTTGTTATTCTTGGCAAGTCAAAGCAGAGTTTCAGACATATTTTAACTGTTTTTTGAAGCTGATTATGAGCTTAGCAAATTCTAGAGTTATATTACAACATCTGAAAAGTTATGTATGCGTTATATGTATTTCATCCGAGACAATCAACTGAAATATTAAAGAATTTATATTTAATATTAAAATATATGCAATTGAAGACAGAATTATTAGCCCCCTGTTTATTTTTCCCCTAATTTGTTTAACAGATTTTTTTCAGCACATTTCTAATCATAATAGTTTTAATGACTCATTTCTAATAACTGATTTAGGTTATATTTGCCATGATGGCAGTAAATAATATTTCACTAGATATTTTTCAAGACACTTCTATTCAGCTTAAAGTGACATTTGAAGGCCTATCTATGTTAATTAGGTTAACTAGGCAGGTTAGGGTAATTAGGCAAGTTATTGTATAACGATGGTTTGTTCTGTAGACAGTCAGGAAAATATATAGCTTAAAGGGCCAAATAAATTTGAACATAAAATGTTTTTTTTTTTTTAATAAAAAAACAAAAAATACAACAAATAAGACTTTCTCCAGAAAGAAAAATATTATTAGACTTACTGTGAAAGTTTCCTTGCTCTGTTAAACATCATTTGGAAAATATTTTAAAAGAATAAAAAATTAAAATTGGAGGAATAGTTCTGACTTCAACTGTATACAGTACTCAGCATAACCAAGAACACCCCATTTTGAAAATGAATATTTCTATCCATTTTTCAGTAAATATAGGCAATGTATTTTTGTGCATTTAAACATTTAATAAACAGATATATTTATTAAAGTAATATTTCAGTGACCAAATGTCTTTAGAAATAGAAAGACAATACATTTAAATTCATGCAGAATATTGGGGGGAAAATTACAAACTACAAAATTTCAACTTAATTTTAGAATTTTTCTCTTGAATTTTTTCTCTTTTTTTAAAAATTGTTATTTAATATCTTTTCCTAACATATAAATTTTGGTTTACTAATTTTCAATTGTTATCATAAGTTATTTTGGTAGATTATTATTATTATTATTATTATTATTATTATTATTATTATTATTATTTTAATATATTCAACTTTATAAATTAGATTTTACAAAATAACATATGAAGGTTATTCTTTTAATTTTAAATATAATGAGAGATGAAAATATATTAAACCTAAATTATTTAGAATTTCAAAGTAAATTTTAAAAAATCTGATTAGTCATTTACAATGTTTTGTCATTTACAAAAAGATTTATAAAAATACAGATATATTAAAAGTATATTTAAAAAAAATGTATCTATTTTATCTCAATTATATTGAAGCAAAGCAAATAAAAATGTAATACTTTGTATATTTAATTTAATTAAATTTTAAAATAATAAATAAAAAAATAAAAAAAATATTATAAATTAAAAAATTTAATAATTTAATAATTTAAAAAATAATAATTGAATTATTAATAATAATAATAATAATAACAATAATAATAAATTTAGTTTAATAAAAATATAAATAAAATAATAATGATAAAAATAAATAAATATAAAAAATATATAAATAATATTATGATAATAATTAACACAATATATAATACAAAAAATAAAATACAACAAATAAATAAATATAAAAATAATAATGAAATAATAAGAACAAGTATAATAAGAATAATAAAATTAAAAATAATGAAAAAATTATAAATAAAATAATAATAATAATTAATAATAAATATAATACTAAATAAATAAAAAATAATAAAACAAATAAATAAATATTGACAAAATAATAAAAAAATAAAAAAATGATAATAATAAAAATATAATAATATAATATTTAATATCATAATATGATATTATAATATAATAAAAAATAAATGTATATTTATTTTTTACTCACCATTCCTGACCCTCCAAAACTATCAATAATTGTGAGTTTCCTTCTGCTTCTCTCTCACGCACACACACACGCGCACACACACACACACGCGCACACTCACACACACACACACACACACACACACACACACACACACACACACACACACACACACACACACACACACACACACACACACACACACACACACACACACACACACACACACACACACACACATATAATTTTTTTTTGAAGAAGAAGAAACAAAGGAGAAAAAAATGTAGTCCCACCATTTTTCAAACTATCTTATTTTTTTAGAACAACAGGAGAAATTCAGGTTTGACAAATTGAGGGTATCTAAATAACTTTTTTTTTCCATTTGTGAGTGAACAGCTTCTTTTAATACCAATCACAAATAAAAATATTGCTAAATTATGGATCTCAAAACTCTCATGCTGTCAACAAGAAAAGCTGTTTTTAACAAAGTTACTTTCCTTCACATAAGATTTATTCCTGTGTACCATGACAAACAATCACCCTGATCCGACACTTATAGGATACCTGCCGCATTCTGACACACTATGTGAGAGCTTGCAGATTTCATAAAGTACACTGAAAAAAATGATATATTGGATTGATTAAATTTTAAGGTAAGTGCTTGCAAACAATTAATAAGAGCCACATTTAAACAAACAGATTAAATGTAGTAATGTTCAACTTATTTGTTTGTTTAAATTCAGTCCATATACATTGTTTGCAACTACTTATCTAAAAAAAATGTAAAAAATCCAATGAATAATTTTTTTCAGTGTATGAAGCAGAGTCTCCCGCCCTCTCTCCAGAGACTTCCAAAGGTTTCCCAAACATCTGGATCCCATCCGGAGCCTGTGGTTGTCCAGCGCTGCAGATGTTTGCAGACATGAGAAGATCCCATGGGCTGCTGCTGGCATCTGGAGCTGGTCATCTGCTGCTATTACACCACACCGAGCCATTACTCAGGCACAGAGAAACTGGTGCGCATGTGTGTGTGTGTGTGTGTGTGTGTATGCTGGTGAATATGGATGTGCTTGTGTGTTTGTTCACATGCCATCAAGCTTGCATTAAAATCACACTTGTCTGAAGAATTACTGAGTGACACTGAATATAAATCTTACACTCAAGAGTCATAAAAGTATTTGTCTCCGCTGCACATATGCTGTGTATTAATGTAAAACACGCGAGCACAGTCAGTAAAGAATGATTATTCTTAAA